TTATTATTGTTAATACATTTATATTGGGTTTTAGTTCAATTATGACATGACAAACTTAGGACCAATGGGATTCACACCTTCTCAAATGTCAGACTTGAGCATCAGTTTTTTTGAAAGTGATTCCTTATGGAGTGGTTTATCACAACCATGGAATGAAATTGATACTGTATGTACTGATTCAACTATTCCAAAATATATGAAAAGAGTACAACCACCTGAAGATTTAATTAATGACACAATATCTGGTAAGGAATGTTTGGATATAGCCTTAAGTGTATTCAGTAAAAAAGACACTAATTTTACATACACCAAAGCCAATTGGTGGAATCCCAAAGCTATTTCTATGAAAAAAATACAGAAGGAAAATGAAAAACCTATTTTAAAAAATGGGATTTCAAAATCAATGACTAAATATAATCGATATCAACGTAAAACATATTCCTGTAATGTATGTTCAGAAACGTTTTCAAAATTCAATGATCTCATTGTACATGATTCAAATGTGCACTCTGACATGACTAAGAACTTTAGTTGCAAAATTTGTGGAAAGCTGTTTTTATCTGAAGAACGTCTACAGATACATGAGAAGGTTCATAGAGAAAAATTGTATGTGTGTCAAATATGCCAAAAGAAGTTTACTCAACAGAAGACTCTTGATATACATTTGAATGTTCATATTGGTTTATACCCTTGTCAGAAATGTGATTTTAAAGCTCAAACAATGTACAATTTAAAAATTCACGAAAGTACTCATTCAAATGTCAAAGAGCATTGTTGTCAAGAATGTAACAAGGAATTTTCAACTGTATCATCATTGCGAAGACACAATCGTCTAGTTCATCAAAAGTTAGTTTGGTTCCGATGTGATCAATGTAATTACTCTACAAGCCAGCCATCAAATATTAAGTATGATTACTACTCATGATAAATTATTTTTATTTATTAATTTTATGTTGTTCATATTTAATCTTTTTAGATATCATAAATCTATCCATGAACCACAAAATTGTGTTTGTGATCATTGTGGTGCAAGTTTCAAAAACCGAGATTTGTTCATGATACATATTAAAACACACGAAGAAGCAAAGTTAAGTTGTGCTCACTGCACAAAGTTATTTAAAAAAAAGTCACACCTCAAAGAACATTTGAGCAGCTGCTATGCACTGGGGCCTAGCATAAAGAAATTTAAATGTGATGTGTGTGAAAAATCCTTCGCAAGAATCAAGAAATTGAATACTCACAAAAATAAATATCATCCAATTATTAATGACATTTAATAATTTAAAAAAAAAAATGTTTTTTCTTAGTATTTTTCACAGAATTACAAATACTATAAGTTATTGTTATACTTATAACATATACCAACATTTTCATTTATTTAAACAATCATTAATTTATTAGGTATCATTCTACTCAATGCCAAGTGACTTTTAATTGTTTTAATAATTTTATCATGAATCCTATTATTAAGTAGAAATATTTTAAAGGTTTGTGATTGTGTATGTATTTAGTTAACAAAAAAAAAATGATTATTACATGAATTAAAAATATGATAATTTTGTCATA